CACCCGAAACGAGGGAGGAAGTCTCGCGGACTGCGTCAACATGAATATCGTATAAAAGCCAAACGGCTGACGTACAACGAGTTTTATCCGTCCTTATCTGCTGAGATCGACCAAAGAATCTCTTCTTCATGCATTTTCATTCTAAATGAAGATCCCCCTGCAAGTTACTAATCATGTTTATAGAGTATACCATGAGGTGCCTTAACAATAAATTAACCGAATCTATTTTGCTTACTTCCAATATTTATCAACAAAGCTTCTTGGCATAGAAATTCTCGCATAAACAAATAAGTTGAATAAAGCCACAAAAAGCATCGTCACTTGGTTTCTTTAATTAAACAAACGCGAAATGCTCATACATATATTAAAATAGAAAAACACAATGAAGACTAGTAGGTCTCAAGAAAAGCTTATAGTATCTTTTGAATTATAAGATTTAATTATCCGATAACCAAAGATTAAAATTTAGTTCGAAATTTTTAATTTATGGATAAAACGACAAAAGCAGAAAATCTCGCATTTAGTTCAACTGCGTTTTCACACCATTCATCTGCTGAAAGTAGAGCAAGATTGAAAACCATTAGTGGATTAAGTTTTATTTGAGGCTATATCTTAGGTCACTGCTTCGAAAGTATAATAATAGAGGTAACCAAAATATAAAGCTTAATATGCTGATAGTGTTGGTTCGACCTTGTTGTCGCAACTTGGTCGCAGCGTCAGTGATACCTTGTGGAACGTACCTAGTTGTGTCCTTTGTCATATTATTCGTGATTTCCAGTATTGCACGATTGGCTGAGTACATTCCCAAACGTTTCGCCCGCATAATTAGTGAGAGGCGTTATCTTAAGCTCAGTTACAACTTGTCAGTGACAAATGAAGGCAATCCCCTTAGCCAAGTTTCTGTGCAAACGTTGTGACATCACTTCTCGCCCCTATTTATTCGTTCTGGAAAAAATGAGGATGCCTCTAGGCTGACGGGCCTCAAAGTCCAGACAAGAAATGTGGGTAAAGTAGTGAATGTCTTTCAATCCTCTTGGCCTGAAAACCACGGAGATCCTTCAGAAGGAACTAAATTTTGCACTTCAGAATAAAAAGAAGGCAATAAAGGACATTTTAGCGTAGGTGATAAATACCTCTAAAAAGCTACCTCAACAATCAAGAGCTGGAAATGGAAATCAACCCAATAATATTGGCGCATAAAGAACCCACACATGTGGACAATATATCCAAAATATATAGAAGATTGGACATAAACGATTAAATAGCCTACAAGCAGACAAAGGAGGTGCCACAGTGGTAATGAACAGAAAGGAATATACAGAGAAAATGGAAAGTATTATCAGAGAAACTTAAACGTATCGACCAAACAGTTAAACTTAGAGGGGCACTTCAATAAATGCTGAAGGGAATGAATAGGAACAGGGAAATCGGCAAATAGACAATGAAGTCAATCATACGAAAGGATTCAAGAGCACCAGTGGCATATGGTTTGCCAAAGGTACACAAAGAAGAACTATTGAGACTGATGATCAACAACAAACAAGGACCGACATAAATTGCGCAAATTAAAGAAAGTGAATAACAGATTATCGAACACAGTGAAGAACTCATACGAATTTTGACGAAGAATCAAAGGTACAAGGTAGAAAGGAAACGAACTATTGGTGAGCTTTGTTGTACAGTTAATGTGCACTAACATCACATGAGAAAAAACACTCACCTCACTACTGGAGATTTTGGAAAAAGAAAATTACATCTGGGGACAGAACGATTAATCAACCTAACAAAAAGAACGACCTATTTAAAATTCAACGGCCGCATCCATGAGCAAATATTTGGTCTACCTATGGGCTCACCATTCTCGCCTCTGTTGGCTAATGTAATCATGGACAAGTTGGAGAAGAATTCAAAAATGTCAGCCCAGCAGCCGATAGTAATTATGCGATATTTGGATGACAACTTCGCAATTAGGTTGCATGGAAGTGAAAAATAAAACGATTTCCTGATCTTCATAAACGAAATAGATGAAAAAGTCAAATTCACCATGGATATGGAGGTCATTCGCTACGAGGAAACTCTCAATAAAAAACGTTTCCAAAAGAAATCGCATGCTGGAATAACTCTTTACTTCCACTCGAACCATACTTATAGGATGAAGATTAGAATAGTCCGGAGCTTACGACGCACTGATTCTGAGTTCTGGGTAAACTAACTCAGATGTTTCCTGGAAACTGATATCCAGAAAAGCAATACAACGCAACATACAGATGTTGATTACGGAGACTATGAAAGGAAAGCAAGAGGAGGAAGAGAAAAATTAGGGATATGTCTACCCTCCTGCGAATTGGCTTGGAAGCTACAGCTAATACTAGGGAAATGGAAGATTCATACAATCCTGAAGGAAATGACAACACTTTTCACCAGCTTGCGCACACAACATGAAAAAGTCAACAAAATGGAGTGCTTCGGAGTTTACAGCGTAAACTCCAAGGAATGTGAACAAAATGTATTGGAGAGAGGAAGGACAATCAGCAAAAGGATCAAAGAACACCAGTGAATATGCAGAAAAATGGATATGGAAAGATCGGATATAACTGAATACATCGCCCTTACTGACCACACAATAGACTGTAATGCAACAGAAAGACTGGCCTCATATGGGGAAAATACCAGGAAAAGGAAGTGGACATCGTCTTTCAAAAAAACCTAATGAACAAGAGATTGTAAAAGGGAAGTCAGCGATAATTTCGCGTTCTGCCTGAGCAGACTTGGAGATGCAACGAATACATTAAAAAGGAGACGCTTGGACCCAGTTCAACAACAAGAAGAGACATCACCAAGGAGCGGCTTATCAGGAAAAAAGTGGAGTCAAGAAAAAGCGACTGCAGTGAGAAGAGTTAAACGTGGAATTGGCCAAAGATGTATCCAAAGTGATGCAACAAAAGAACTCGATTATAACTTTCCCACAGATTGTAATAACCAATCAAAACGCTTTCACACTAAATCAGTTAGCCAAATGATGATACTCTCTTTCGGTTAAGGTGGATGAGCGCTATCACATGGAAGAGATGAGACAAATGGCTTATAATTTCATGATACAAAAAATGTCAGTTTATCGCTTTATATTCCTGTATCCGTTTTTTCGGGAGAACTTAGTTCTTTATATTTTTATGCACATAACTTAAGGGATTATGCGAAATTTCATGTTCTTGGAACAATTACATACATAGCCAGTGCTGTCAATGGGCAAAAAGTGTAAAAAATATGTTACATATCTGAATTTAGACTAACATTCTTGTTTCTTTAGTGGCGCTACCAATATGGGGTAGAACAAGACAGTTTGACAAAGCAAGCAGAGGACTATCAGTTGGAAGTGGTTCGGGTGTAGTTACATCCAATCCAGCACCACCAAGACCACCAGGCCGAGTTAAAGCGCGTAGAAGAGCATCCTGATCCACCACTTCGCCACGGGATGTGTTGATGAAAATGGCACCAGGTTTCATTTTATTGAAAACCTGAAAAATGATAAAAACAAGAAATGTCGATTCCATTTTTGACTATAAAATCAAGCCAATAAAATTCTTGTTTATATGAGATATATTCATCCTATTTCGTTTAAGGTGATGAAGGACTA